CACTTACGTCATACATACTTTTTATATTTTATACATACTGTTAAATATCTTTTGATTTAGTTAAATATATTTTAGCTTCATCAAATTATTAAAAGTTAATTTGTTTGAAAATTTTGCATTTAAGAAAAATGAACATTAAATACTGAGACTAAGCAAACATTTACAGATTAAAAGTTTGTTATTCCCCTTGTTCTTGTATGTTTTTGCAAGTTTAAGATGAGCATTGTAAACATTTTGCTGTGTAGGGGTCTTTGCAGTCACTGAGTTGGAGATTCTTTGGTGTGGGTGTGGTTTGGGTGAACCGTGATTGGTCGGACTGGCTATTATGGGTGGGGTTTGAAGAAGCTAAAACTGTTTAGTTCAGGCAGCGGGGGGAAGGGGGGGTGGTAACAGTTCAGACAGCTATTTTTGAATATTAATATTAGTCATAACTCGAGACAGGAAGGTGCTATAGCTGCACCAAATTTCAAGTCAATAAATTATATTTACATGTTCACAGTAATTTTACTAATTACCATTATACATTTTAACTCCTCCCACAAGTCAATCTGACCAATCACACTTTATACATACTACACCCACACCCAAGAAAATCCCACTTAGTGACTGCAGAGACCTATTCTCAAAAATTGTTTGATGTTTTAAAACACTTCTGCATAGATTTGGTTACAAAACCTTTACTTAGTTAAAATACATTACCTACGCTTTCATAGGTATCAGTTTCCACTAAAGTAAACTATTGTTTATGATTAGATGATTAGAGAAGCTCTTCAGATATATTAAAATTAGTTGAAAAATTACTTAAGTATAAAGCCAAACACTTTTTTGACCAGTTTGAGCCAATGTTTTTTTTAAACCAGAAACAACACAGTTTCTTTCACATTTTTTCTTGAAGTTTTCAGTAATGTTGAAATAAGCATATAGCTGTTTATGAATGCATCATTTGTTTCAGGCTGTGTATCTGGTAATGTTGCTGTAATGCATGTCCTTAAAAAAACAGAAATCTCCATCCTTTCCAATTTTAGGACAATTTCAAAGTTACTTTTCAGAAAGTTGTTCTTTTGCAGCTGCAAATGTTTCTGAATGAAAACGGCATTTATGTTAAACTTTAGTCTGGTTTTTAATGGTACCACAGGGCAGAAACACCTTTAAACGTTTGTAATGATTTTCTCTTTGAACAGTCGATTCAGGGAACTCTGCTACACTCATGCCTTTAGGCTCGTTGCTGCCTTTGATACTGGGGATCACAATATTCTCTTATCCTGATTTAAACAGTGCTTAGGGATTAAGCTTTTCTGCTCTGCAGATCAATCTTTCAGAATCAAATCATACTCAACACAAAGAAAATTCTACGTCCAGATAAATTAAAATTCTTCAGCTGTAGCCAAACTTGTGTGTGGAGCTCCTCGAGGGTCCTGGGCTTCGTCTTACCACACATATTCCTGATTTTCTGTCCTCTCTCTGCAGATGGCATCTGCCCTTTAAAGTTTAAATGACAGAGTCTGCCATTGTTAAACTGCTTAGACAACATCAAGGTGTGTGTAGATAAAAACTAAAACAAAACTCCATCTCCTGCCTCTTATCTGTAGTCAGGTCACAGAGGCAACAGGTCCAGAAGGAAAGCCCAGACATCCCTCTCTACAGCAACACTTTCCAGCTCATCCTGGGGGGCCTAAAGGCGTTCCAAGGCTAGAGAGGATGCATAAACCCTCCAGTGAGTCCTGGGGCTTTCTACCAGGGAGATATGCCCTGAACCCTTCAAAAGGGAAGCATCCAGGAGGCATCTTATCAGATGCCTGAACCACCTCATCTGACTCCTTTCGATGTAGAGGAGCAGTGGCTCTACTCTGATCCCCCCACCCTCACACACACATACATGGATGTGGTTGGGGGCTTAGGGCTGGGTGGGGGGTGTCAGAGTAGAGCCACTTATTTTTGTTTGTTTCACTGGTTTCATTTATTGAATTACTTCATTTCAACTTGCATGATTTTAAATGTTTTACTTGACACTGACATTAATACCAATTATCTCGTGTGTGTGTTTTTTTTTTATTAATTAAACAAAGATCCAAGCCAGTGGTGCTTCACTTATTTCCTGTTTTCTCTTCATTTTTTTCTGTTTAATAAATTCCATCTACCTCAGCAGCTCTGTTTCAGGCAGTGTCAGGGAGAAACATTTGTCCTGACATTTTTGGGCATGGGGGAAAAGCTATGAATAGAATTTCTCCATTTTGTGCAAGTCTTTGGAGATTGACTGACATCCTTGGGGCTTGTCTTGATGCTCACTGCCCTGGTCAGCGGTGAGTCATGTAGCTAGTTTACTTGCCTGTTTTCTGGCAGCAAGGGCCCTTGCATGCCCAGCTATGTTGGTATCACTTCGCCTGTCTTTTTCAGTGTCTCTCAGTGTACTGTCAAAGAGGGCCATCGCCACTGTTGTTCTGGGGCTTGGCAGTTAAATCTGTGCCATTGTTGGTGATGCTAATGCGAAGAAAAGGGCAGTTAAAGCTGATTTATGCACGAATGTACTGCACAGAAGGCAGAACTGGGAGTTGATGAGAAAAACTACATTTAGAAAAACTGGCACAAAAGGATTTTTTGAAGTGCAGTAAGAGGGCCAAAAATAAAAACAATTATTCTTCCAAAAACTGAAAAAAAAATACTGAGAAAAATATGCTGAGCACTTGCAAAAAAGCATTTATGATATTGAGCCTGACTGTTCAATTGCTGTAGGAGATGATGAAATAGGTGCTTTTTGAGAGAGGACAGAAATCAATGTTGATGTTCTTTGGTATCCATCATTTAGACTGAATTGAAGTCTATAAGGGTACAACAAAACCTATAATACTTGAACACACACAAACAACTAGCCTCTGGGTGAACTGGTACCGTGCTGCTCTTAGTGAAAACCTCACATTTCTACGATTAGTTTTGTTCTCATGTGAAGCACTGCATATTCTGCATGTTGTGAAAGGTCATAAACATTTGCAAAAGCGTCTAAAAAGCCCCAGGGTGAAGTGAAAAATGCATCGCCATCAAACTAGAAATAATAATGAACCCACTGCTTCCTAAAGAGCAAACATGTTGAAGATATTGCTTCGAACATGACACTGTAAAGTTCAGAACAGATGCAAAAAAAAAACAATGCAAGGCTTTTTTGTAAAATATTGCCGTCCATGAACAGGTCTTTAGGCAAGACTCTACCATCCAGCTTTAGAGAAAACCCATCTGTCTTCAAGAATTTATGGTCCTACAATCAAGAATGGGCCTGCTATGACTCAGACACATAAAGCACATGATTCAGTGATACTATCTCACAACAACTCTTTGAAATCTTAAGTGCAAGCTTAAAGGAGCTATTGAAAAAGCTGACAATTAAAAAAAATAAAAACAAAAACGTCAACCAGCTGGCGGGACAGTGATTCATTTTCAAACACAAGTCCCAGAGCTGCAGGAAGGCTTACATCCCTAATCTGTCAAATAGAGGAAGTGTGTGTTTACACAGCAGTTTATAGTGGAAATATGAATCACACAATTCATACCATACATCAAAACATTTTTAACATCAAATATTTTTTGTCTCAAGTGACAGAAGTTCATTTTATTATGAATGATGGAGGGTAATGCTCAGTTCTCAGAAAGATGGTGTTTTTCCTTATTTAGATTTATTAACATGTATTTCAAAGATTTTTTATGTTTATAGGTAATATGA